CCCCTGCGGCGGCGGCCCTGCTCGCGTGCGTCTCCTTCCCGGGCGTCCCCGGCGTCCTGGGCGACTGCGCTGCGGCGACGCGGGGGGCGTGGCGGAGTCGCCGAGCGAGGTGAGCGAGGTGTTCGCGCTGGAGGCGGAGCGCTGCGAGCGCCGCGCGGAGAGGGAGGGGAAGCGCATCCGGCTCGGCTTTTCTTTCTCCATTTCGCGGGCGGGGGTTGTGGCGGGGGACGCGGGGGTGCCGTTTCGTGCGTAGGGCGTGGTTCCGTTCGTGCTGGTGAGGGCGTACCGTTCCCGTTCGCGCGGGCTTCGTCTCTGCCGACACGCCGTTCACCGCGGGCGCGGGCGCGGCCTCCGTGGCCGCACCGTTCGGCGCGGGCTGCTCCGCCGGCTTCCACCGCGTCACGCCGCCTCGCCCTCGCCCTCCATCGCCCCTCCCGCTTCGCCTCGCCCACGACGGCGCCCCCGCCGCCTCGTGCGTCGACGGCGCGTTCTCCCCGGCTCCGTGCCCGTTAGCGTGCCCGTTCCCGTTGACCGCGGGCGCGGGCGCGGAGCCCTCGACGACCGTCGGCTTGAGGGGCTCCGGCTCGAGCGGGAGGATGTGCATGGGGACGTCGGGCGCGAGGTGCGGCGCGGCGAGCTCGGAGGCCGGGAGGACGGTCCCTGGCGTGAACGGCTCGCTCGTCGGGGACAGCTCGGGTGCAGGGGCAGGGGCAGGGGCAGGGTCGGCTGGTGCGGGGGCCGGTTCTGCTGCCGGCTCTGGCTCTGGCTCTGTGGGGAGGGCCGGGCTCTCGACGGAGGGCGCCATCGCCTCGACCATGGCGGTTGCCGTCTGCGCGAGGCCCGCGACCGTGTCTTTTACCGTGGCCACGACGCCCGCTGCGGGTGTGGGTTCCGGCGCGGGCGCGGGCGGGGCGGTGTAGACGTTGTTGAGGTTGCCGATGGGGTCGAGCTCGGTGGGCTGGCCGTCCGCGGTGGTCCAGCGGCCGTCGACGACGTACTTGTACGCGACCTTGGTGCCGAAGGGCACGCGGGCGGTGCCCTCGAAGCCCGCGGGCGTTTTGGCGAGGTGGGTCGAGCTCGACCACTGTGCGTCGTGTAGGCGTGTAGGGAGGGGAGGGGAGGGAGGGGATGCGTCAGCGAGTGCGGGTGGGAGGCGGGGAGGCGGGACTCACCCCGTCGAAGGAGCCTGTGACGATGACGTCCTGGGCATCGGTGGAGGGCCTGGGTGTGCCTGTGAGCGGGTGCGGTTGGCTGCAGGAGGGGCGCACTCACCACCGGAAAGTGATTTCGTGTGCCTGCTCGGCCATCGCCGCTCTGCAGAGTCGTTGATCAGTTGCGAGTTAGGGGGTCGTGCTGTGTGCGGGTGCGTTGGCGGTCAGTTAGCGGTGGATGTGTGCGGGGCGTGTGCGTGTGGGCGCGCAGGTTGCTGCTGGAGGGAGCGGATGCTGGAGTCTGGGGATGACATGGAGCGCGGAGCGGCGGGTGAGATGAATAAGCGCACGGTTCGATGCGGGGTGGAAGACGCTCACCTGGACGACGCGCAGACGGGTTGAGGAGGGCGGGAGGGTATCCGGAGGGGAGGGCGGGGGAGAGGCTGGTGGGGAGGCGTGTTTATAGGCGGGTGATGGCGGGGGATGTTCGCTTGGGGAGTGTATTGGTCTTCGGTCGCGGAACGTGGCTGCTGCCTGTCGTCCCCCGTCCAGACTCTGACCGCCCGCCATTCAGATCCCCCGATGGGCCCTCCGTCAGCCTCCTCTTCCCCCTCCTCCCTCGGAAACAACAGCGCGTGTTTCAGCTGTCCAGTCTGCCAGACTACCATCTGCACACAGACAACGCCTGGGGACAGGCTGTGTCCGCTCTGCGTTCGATGCATCCGTCCGGAAGACGTTGACGTGTCCGCGGTCGAGGCGTCCTGCGAGTCTGATATCGAACCGCCAATGCAGCCCTCGATCGAAGTCACACCAGGCTTCGCTTCTGGCTGCGCAATGAGCTCGTGCAGGCTGCCTGGCTCTGGCTCTGGCTCTGTGTCCTTACACTGGTATGTGCGTTACCATCCAAGTGCCCCGTCCACACGTCGCTATCAGCGGATGACAGGATACGCCATAGTGTCGCCCCATGAGTCACCGTATTCGTGTCTGATTGCATCCCGAGGCAACTGCCATGCTCAACTGGTTCAACTCTTCCGTTGTCTACATAGGGGAGAATGACTGGACGACTGGACACTCAGACTCGCGGGACGACCCTTGGACGACCCCTCTGTCGCGCGTCGCGTCATCTCCCGTAAGCAGACCCTAAACACGACCGTAAGCGTGTTGAGTGCCATGGGAGGGCCGTCATATATAGCGCGTCGCCGGAGGTCGAGGGTCGACCAAGTCCGATGCATTGCTAAGTAGCAAGTACTGGACCCACGTAGCTCGTAATGAATGCACTCCATCCCGCGAAATCGTGATGCCAGGTCTGAGGAATTTGTATTCGGAGGAGTATACATTTGATGATTTTATCCCGAGATTGCATGGCCTCTGGGAGGACCGTGACCGCGAAGAGCAAGTGACGCTCGCTTCGCGTCGCGTCGCGTCGTCGAAGTCGCTACACTCGCTTGCCACCGCCGACCTGCATCTTGCCCTGCACTACTGTACTGTTCCCGCCTTCCGCTTCCCCCTTCTCTACGACCGCGGCTATGTCCAACGACTCGGAGCGCGCGATCAAGGTCGAGCAAGCTGATTCCCCCGAGCGCGTGCAGTTCGACGCGGAGAGCACCCTCGGCGCGGTATATAGACTGCCCACGAAGGAGGAGGAGTCTGTCCAAGTTGGGTCCGCTCAGCTACCCGGGGCTTCGCGGCCCTCTTCCCAGTGGTATATCCTCGTGCCGACGGTCGAGCGATTTGAGATAGAGCGCAGAGAGGCAGCGCAGGCGGCTGCCACGAAGCGTGAGGAGGCTGGTGAGTCGTATGAGATACAGTTGCTTCAGCACAGGTGAGGACAATGTGCACAACGTACTGTTTAGACACGGGCATACCGGTAAAGGCAGAGCCCCTTGAGGATGACTGGCTAGTCCAGTTGCCACCACCTGGAACCTACTACGACCTGACGGACGAGCAACAGCACGAAGCTGTTCTGCGACTCAGGAATGTGAATTGATTCTGATTTTACTATGCCATCTGTATTGCTTATAGCTCCGCGCAGCCTATCGCCAAGATCAAGAAGGATTCGCAGTTTACGTGGAAGACGGTTGCGGACCGGATGAAGGTAGTCGGGTTGGATCCGTATCGAATAGACCTCGACGAGCCGACGCTGAGGTTCATGTTTAACCGCTACTACTTACATAACCTCTACGGAGGGAGCTTCGTCGACACGTTTCCCCACCCGGCACCACAGAAGGCCCAAGTTCACCTGCTCAGCGACTTTATGTGTCTTGTCCTCGAGCTCAACCCGCACGCACCGGTCAACCCCGGCGACCCCGGCTTGTTCTTCGGAACTAGGCGCGCTGACGGTGAAGGTGATTTCGAACGCAGTATCTTTCGTGTATTCGTGAGGGTGCAAGACAAACCTGCACTCTGGGGTTACATGGGTCAGTACCGGATGTACGTTTCGGAGTCTCTGACCTCAGATGAGTTTGCTCTTCAACCCCTCGCAGTCAGTCTCTCGGCTATAGATGTCCTCTGAGGGCGTCTAAATGCTGATTTGTTCTTGCATAGGTACGAAGGACGTGGGGGCAGGACATCCTCGAGAAGTCCTGGGGAGATGTTGTTATGTTCAGGGTGGGGTTTCGCAAGGAACATCACAGAGAACCATCCAGGGATGAGATCTCTGCGGTCGTCGAAGACAAAGATCGTGTAGTTGCAGCACGCCGCAAGGTCACGTGGGAAGATATCGTTGCTGCATACGAGAGAGGAGAAGAGGTGAGATCTGTCTTTCGCGGTGTGCAGGTTCACATTGATACTAAGCTGCTCTACTACACCACCATAGGCGATCGGTGTATGGGCAATGAAGTGCGTCAGCTACGACATCCAGTTCCAACGTGTCCTCGCGAGGAACTACAAATATTTCACTCCGCCGAAGGGAAAGGCGAGGGGAAAGTCAAAACATTCGGACGCTCTGAAGGCGACTCGGAAGCGCAAGCGGGGGTCTTCCGAGCCAGAGACACCGGAGCCAAAACTGGAGTATGACAACGGCGGCGATGATGTCGATTTCGATGCGGAGGCCGTCGAATTGAAGGACCTCAAGTCCGAGGAGGATGCTGACATGCACGACGAGCCGAAGGTCTCGCTGTCTCAGCGAACTGTCGCGAACCCGATCAAGTCCGAGGAATAGACTGTGCTGCTGCGTATTATTACTTTCATCATCACTATCATGTCGTCCGCTGTTGCTCGCCTACGCTGTCGTGCTTTCTATCATGGGATACTCACCACTGCATGTCAGTTGCTTGCTTGATATGCATATGGACTTGGAAGTATGGAGTTGGGATGTATAATGATAATGCTTACTAATGGTACACATGGTCTAGACAGTGAATATCATGTCCGAGCGAACTACTTAGAGCGCATCGCCCGTGGCGTCGAAGACACCTCTGAAATACTGCGCGAGGCCGGACAACCCGTATACAATCCCTCCGACCACCCCATCCGGACGCACGATCACGATCGTCGGCTTCTCCGGGGACACTTGGTATCCTGCGTACGCATGGCCGTCCCTGTCGGCTATCGCAAGGTCTGGTCGTCCAACGACACTGGGGTTCGACGTGCCCTGAGGGTAAATCGACACCGTCTTGACAGAGCCAGACGGATACTTTTGCGCCACTCTGAGTACTTGCTCCATCTCCTCGGCAGGTATATTGAACAGAAGCGCTGTATGGTGGGAAGGGCGGAACACGCTGAAGAGCGACGTCGGATCGTCGGCCTCCTCGGAGCCAACATTCACAAGGCCGGGTGCGTCAGGTGCACGGTCGCCCGCTCTGAGATCACCGTCGGTGCCCGAGCCATAGGGATTGACGCTCTCGGGCGACTGCGCCTTGGGCGTGCGCTCGTCCACGACGATGGAGCTCCAGCGGTAGTTCACGCCCAGCATCCTGAGGTCGCCGCCACGCTTCCAGGCGCGCTCTGTGTCACCTTTCTGCAAGGCCTCGAAGAGTTTCGTACTCTTCTGCAGCATTGCAGCGATGACGGGAAGGCGCTCCTCGGTGTAGGTGGCCAGCAGGGAGGGAGAGGCGAGGCCCTGCTCGACGAGCGTGAGTTTCCATGCGAGGTTGAACTGGGTGGAATCCGTCAATTGGGAGAGCATTGTGATTAGATTGCAGTGCGCACCGCATCTTGGACACTGGAGTTCAAGCCCTAAGAAAACGACGTTAGCCTTGCTAGAACGGACCTCAAAGGAGGCGCGCAATCCGACTTACCTGGCCACCAGCTGGGCTGTGAACATGTGCCGCATCTACGTTGCGTGTTAGTCGCCTCGTCGTGTTCAGGAGCAACCTCCAGATTTACCTCCGGCGACGAAGACGCGGCCTTCGCCGAACTTGTCCACCATGCGAATGTTCGGTCTATGCATCGAAACAAACGATGATAAGCTGGCATGAGAAACGTCCTTTCCAACACTGACCTGTATGGCGAGACCGCCTCGAATTTGCCGAACACCAAGTCCTGTCGCTCAACCCGATTGAGGAAGGTCTCGACAAGTGCGTCTCTGTCCACCAACAGCTTTTCCACATCTTGCACCCGTCCGAGGAAGAAGCTGAAGTATCCGGTCCTCTCTGTGGGGATTAACATAAGGCTGTCGAACGGAGCAGTTAGAGAGCCGTAAGCTCTTGCAAGTCCACGACAACGCACCCGCCATTAAGCATTTCTGCCCACTGGTGCCAGTGCTACCCAAGAGGCCAGTCAGCGAACTCTGTATCAAACCCGACAGAAAGGCGGATTGGGTCTGGACTGGACACCCACATCTGCGTCAAGTCCCTGGACTTCGACCAGACCGAGCAAGTGTATAGCTCCGTCCGTACGAGTCTCTCCAATGAAAGACAGGCCCAGTTGCTTGCGAACAATGCCTATAGCATTACGCGTCAGTGCACGACATTCTCGGGGACATAGATAGCTTACCTCGGGCACCATCCGTGCCTACCAGCCAGTGGGATGTCAGTGTCTCGGTCTTCTCTTTCTCGCCATTTTTGGTGACAAGCGTTGCTTCGACGTGGTTTGGATGCTGCTCAAAGCTACGCAGCTCGGTCCCGTACTCTACAGTGCCCCCAAGGCGTTCGATGTGCGCACGAAGAATCGCCTCGGTATTGTACTGGCCAAGCAAACTTGCATTGACCTTGCGAGGCAGTGTGGGTCAGCCGAAAGGATGCATATCGGCGATCGAGCTCACGTAAGGGGTTGCGGGGGTAGGATCCTCGATGGGAGCTATCGTCTCCACTTTGAGCGTCTCTGTCCCTCCTGGTAGTTTGTATTCGCGCCTCGGCATGACAGACAGTGCATTGACCTGCACGTCGTCAAGAACGCCGAGGAAGTGGAACAGTTCCAGTGTACGCGGCTGCACGTCCGCCTGTAAGCGAGCGTCATGTACCATGCGCGTATTGCTCACCTGCAGGCCAGAACCTCGCTGTCCAGGATGGCGTTTCGGGTCCTTGTCAACGATCCGAACTTGAACGCCATTCTGAAGGAGGGTCAGTCCCAGAACAAGCCCAGTGGGCCCAGCACCAGCCTGTGTGATGGCGATCAGCTTGGAGTTTGGACTGTTGATACTTACTTACAATGAGAACGGGGATCGGCGAAGTACTACCCATTGAGAAGTCACTTTCGGTATTTAGTTGATGAGAGGCTTAGGGTCGTCTGGTGTAGAGCTACCCTATCCTAGCTGGCCTTATGTACGGGCGATCTGAGTGCATACGCGTGGCCCGGTCGGCGCATTGCCTGATCACTGCCGAGTCTGTGTCAAACGTCCGAGTCAGGGCAGCGTCGTGGAAGTTAGAAGTCGCGGAGGTGTACGTCTCCCTCTCGGCAGGACTCTGACTCGTCCAGTGGCTACGGCATCGCTCCGAGTCGAGCTGCTGCAGACGCACTCGGATGACCAACGAGGACGCAAGCACGAGTCGCCCATAAGTATGTAATGATCAAAACCGAGAGTACTATCTCTTTTTGGTCAGCAACGGAGACTATGTAATGATGATCATGACTTGGGACTTACTCATGCGACCGCATGGGTGTGCGATCAAACAATATGTACATATACACCATATACAACACCGACTGAAAGCACTTTTTGCGTATTGTGTATTGCGTTTTGCGTTTTGCGATGCTTTCTTGACTCACAAGAAAATCTTGCTCCAACCTTGGGATTTGAACGGGAGCGAACTTCGATCAATCGATCACCAGTGACACGGTCACATGCGCGACGCGACCCTCGCCGTTCGCCTTTCGAGTGACCGCTCGGACTCACCTCGCCGTACCCTCATCCCTATTACCTCTCGGTCTCCCACCCTTCAGTGCGGACGCATTCCACCACCACGACACGTCTGTGGTATCCTTAGCGGACCACTACCTCCATAATTCTGTTGGGAGCCTGAGGGCTCTACAGAGGTACCCGGCAGACGACAATAGGTCGACCCCGGTGTACCAGCCAGCCAGCTGGTTCCCCCGCAAGTGCTTCCAAGGACGGAAAATGTGATTTATGCGCAGCCGCCATGCGCGGTCCGGCCCGTGTGGGACTCATCCATTGAGTAGTGCCATGGTCGACTCGCCGGGGTGAGCCGAAGTCCTACGCGCCGACATAGCCTGCTAATATTGGTACCCTGGATTCGGTGCCACTCTAGACGAGAAAATCGTGACAAGAAATCCATGGCCACATGTGCTGCGATAGTCCGAGGACCCCCTCGTCATAGTTCTTCGTAAATGTCGATTCAAAGACAACTGATTCGCGGCATATCATCGACCTCAGCTCGATTGAAGGCACAGCAACACACATGATTAGGAGATCGTCTAGGTTTGCGAAGGAAGCGCGTTCTGACTTGGAGAAGGACACTAATCATAACGGACATATCTGCCGGACGTTCATACCGAAACAGTATGTACGAGAGGCTCGAAATGGTTGAGTCTGTCGTAAATTCTGAAGCTTTCCACAACATTGACGTTGTTCGAGTTGCAGTCGACGGTACAGCTACATAGCTGTACCCTAATATTACTATGACTAACATCTTCAGCGGTCTGTCGCGCTCGGCTGCCTGATCCTAGTCTCCGTTGCAGACCAGAAGAGCCGACAAGCGTCTAGTCCGATCCTTGTCCGGGCTCGCCGTGCGGAGAGAATGACATTCTACTGGACTTGAAGGGAGCACAGTCTCGCATTGGCCAACGCAAAGCACGACCGCCGACCCCACGCGCTGGAACTGGAATGGGTCGACGAAACTACGCACACCCTCGTCTTCCTTCTGTGTCACTCGGTCCGCCGTCGTCTCTTGACGGCAAAGGCGAAGTTCTCAAATGCGAAGTCCGAGTGAGGTGGGCCGTGTAGCAGGGGCGAAGAGAGCGACTGGTCGGGTCGCTCAGTACGCGGCGGACGCAGGCAATGGGCGGCAGCGGGGACGGGGAGCTGGAGAGACGGCAGCAGGAAGAGGTCGGAAGGCCGGCGACGCGTCGAGATCATCCTGTCTAGAGAACGACTCGGAGCAGCGTGGCGACCCTTGGACGACCCCTCCGTCACGCCGCGTCAACGTCAAGGGTCGAACGGGAATCCGAAGTGGAGGGCCCCTACTTCCACGCGTACGATCGCTCGCGGAATACTCGTCTCCCCGCGAATATTCCTCGACGTGCGCGTCTTTGACGTGAAGAAAATAATATGTAGCATGTCTTTATACCGGCTGCATTACTGGACCCAGGTATCGTGTAATGGGTGCTCTTGATCCCGCGCCATCGTGTTGTCACTGTCAGGTTCTGAGATCTGAAGAATCGTATGCGGAGGAGTGTACATTTGATCCCGCGATTTCGTGCCAGGCTAGTGGGACCGTGACCGTGGAGAGCAAACTGACGCTCGTTCGCAACTCGTTCGCGTCGCGTCGTTGAAGTGCTACATAACAAGTACTCGCTTGC